ACAACACAGTTATGCAAGGAAATAAGGTCGTCAAGTCGACAGACTGATTAGATGACAGTGTTTTTTCCCAATATATTGTTAGTCCACGTATGTAGTAGAGTTTTGTCTGTGGTATAAAACGACAACAATTTTAATCGTACAACCGATTAAGCTCTTAACCTTAAATATCACATGGACATGATGACTGGTGTTGGTAGTAGGTTAGACATCAGACATTAGACAGAATTCAGATTCATACAAAAGCATGTTTAAATAATTAATGAACAAGTCCATTTTGCAAAATGATATGGCTAAATAAACCTTTACAATCCCCTTTAGTTAATCCACAAAATAATTTGAAAGTAACTCGTAGTGTTGCATTACATACTTACTAGATAACAGTTCTGATTAATACTTCGGTGAGTAATATGCACTAACCTGAGAGTGTCAGTCATCAAACAATAAGGGCTAATTAATTCTATATCATGGCATGAAATTTGATAGGACAGAATTCATTATTCTAAAAAAATTTGGATTTAGAATAACAGGTGGGACAAGTGGAAACAATTCAGAGTGAGAATAGTAATAATCACAATATTCGTAGTAATGTGGGAAGAGTACATAGATTAACTAAATAAACAAAATAAATAAATGAATATCCCTCTATGGCCATTGTAGAAGTAGGGATTGTACATACTTCTTTTGTACACAAAGGTTTGGCTAAAATTCATGAGTGGCCAATTCCTCCGTTGTCTATAGAAGTCTATAACGAAGAAAACGCGGTAAGTTAGCATGGATTTGGTAGATGATCTTAAAATCATGGTCAGGGTTGGCAAAGTGACAGAAGTCAATCAAGTGTTCTAGAATAGAGCTTCGCACGCCTCTCCTTTCTCCCTTGTAAAACCATGCTGGAATATGTTCTCGTATCCGTGTGGAACGCTTTCTCTGCCTACGGACAATGTACGTTGCTCCACAAGAGCAGGTGAACTGATAGATTCACATGGAGGCGGTCAGACGGAGGAGCTTGCCTTTTACAGAGATGGAGAATAACTTGCAGCTGGTGAACGTCATTTGTAATTTCGCTGAAAAACGTCTTACTGATTGATTTGGAGAAACGGTTTTGAGCATATCTGCAGCTTGATCATCCTTGAATTCCAGGATCTTTGGAGCTGAGTCGGTACTGCTTATCTATCCTGTTTCTGTCAATAAATCGGTTCGGGTAACCGTTTTCTGAGAGCAGTTCCCTCACCGGATATAATTTCTTACAATATAATATATATACGATTGCACAGCTTGATAATAAATTCGTTAAAATCGGTTTATTCTTTGGGTATTGTGTGCTTAATTTTACAATGCGAATCATTAAATAATTAGTTCTATTAATCATGATCCACTTGTTAGGAGTTTATATTCATCAGCAAGGTAAGTGGGAGAAAGATGGGAGAGGCAATAATCATTAAAAGGATTATAAAATCTCTTTCATATAAGTCATATCGTCAAGTTGGTCTACGAAAGATGTATGTACGGTTTTTTATGCATACATATGTTTCTGATGTTGACGTCTCAAAAATATCTCAAGAATGCTTAAAAACTAAGCTTTATACATTTTATAAGTGATAGGGTATGGTGGAGACAAGTATTTTGGCGTCTTCTCTGCATTTGATTGCAAAATTACAAAAGACAAAACTGTGACCACACTATTCTCATTGATATGTTTTTTTTAAAGGAGGCAGTTTCATAATGTTAGGTCTTTAGTATTCACTAACAGGCATACTACTTCCTGTTGATAAAATCTGAACAGACAGTGTCGAAAACTACTGCTCAGGGAATTAAGGTTATCTGTTACAATGATCCTGACTCTTGCATGAATGCTTGAGTTCAACCATTACCAGAGACTATACAATAAAAACACAGGTCACTTTTTAGTAACTCATCACTGTAGATAATTACTAAGACATTCATTTTTATTTCACTCCTAGAATAATGTCCTAACCGAATGTATATTTCTTTCGACTGATAAATTTGGAAACAATGAAAAGCACTTTTTAAATAAATACATTTATTTTACCCTAAGGCTTTCCATTAACTGAAAATAGAGCGGGTACAATAACTGTTCAAACCAGTCAATAACTGACATAGAAATTGTAACTTTGTACTAAATAGTCTAGCAGTGGGGCTATTTTGGGAAGAAAAATACTGATTATGCTTGTCGACAGAGTATCAGCAATAATTAAAATGGTGACAGCGACTGTTGTACTGTCGAACACTAATTACTTTACCAAACTGCAGTATACAACTGGAGCAACTGTATCTGTGTATTTAACACAGAAAACGAATCAGGTAAAACTTAATAATGACTAGGAGGAATAATTCTGCACGTCAGTCGAAAGGTTTTAAGAACACAATTCTTAGTAGGACAGGTTTTTTTAAAAATTCGCACTGAAGTAAGTTATCTTAATCCCTTGATATCATATTCAAACAGTTTGGATGTATGTCACTGGCCTAGGGACACAACATGCATTGTCATTTAAATACTGGTTCATGTACACATGACATTTTATTCGAGCGATAAGCGTCATCGCTACACTCTAATTTGAGGGGTAAAAGTGATCTTTTTTGCTACATTCAAATGTAAGTAAAAAGTGATTGTAATGTTGTGTGTTAGCAGACACCATCTTGAAGCCTTGCTCACAGTAACAAAGCATCTTTTTATTTTGTTTCATTTCACCTGCAGACAACTCAGTTTGTGTGGGTATGAAAATGCATGGATTTATTTAAGTCTGTGGACTCTTGGAATGCACTTAGGATTAACAGCCAGACAGGTGAAATGTTATATTCCTAAGTATTTTTTTATTCCTTCACGTTCCAAGTGGAACATAGAGCTTCAAGTTAGAGGCTTGAAGTTTCTGTAGCAGTAGTGATTATTTTTACCGGGTGAGGTTGCTAGCCTGATGCCCAACCTTCCCTCTTTACCAGTCTTACTACTGGCTTAGCGAGGTAAAGGAGTGCGTCGGTGGCCGGGGACCATGTGCATGGTCGGCTAGTGTCCTAACCGCTGTGCCACCGATGAGCACTATTGTTTTGCTAAAACACTAAGAATTTGTATAACGATGACAAAAAGTTTTTGTTGGCAGAGTTATATAGATAGATTAAAGATGTACTTTAACGGGAAGAATTATGAATACTTTAAACAGAGGGGCATAAAATTCATTCAGCGGTTGTATTTTGTTTTCGTAGATGGAATTTTACTGTAAAATGATGAATACATGACAAATTAATTAGTGATCAACATTTATGAAGACAGTTTTCAACACAAATTGTGATCAGAATAAAACTTTTTGAAGATGAGGAGGTAATAAACTTCTTCTGACCCATTACCGAGTGAATTCCACAAATCCATGCCATGTATTCCTACACAAATTTAGTCAAGATATGGTATGCCATTGACGGTTTTCAGCTCAGATTCAAAAGGTTCTGACACTTTCACTGCACCCTGACGGTGAATTTTTATGCGTACAAGGATAAAAACTCAGTTTAGGCGTAATTTTCAATGATGAATTTACAAAACTTTATCTGCTATGCTGTGAATATGACATTTATTGAGCACACATAATCATCGTCTGTCTCAACATGTTTTGTTAGCTAAAGTTGAATTAGATTATAAAAGGGTTGAGATTATTCTAATAAAGAAATAATAGCAGTTCATGAAGTCACTAAATATTTACCTGGGTTATGAAGGAATTGTAGGCTGCTTAGTTACTATGCATACAGCTACAACAAGCAACGGTTGTGTATTTTCTTCACTTAGTGGATAATATCTTATTTGTTTACTTGCTCAGCCTTAAAGCACTGTACGACTTTCGATTAAATTACTCTGACTTCTCCTTCCTTTTATTTACCACCTACTTTATGCGCCGTTTTGGACTGGGTCAGTGTGATCACTACTGCAATACTGTTTGTCTGTAAACTTCATTGTTTCACATGGTCGGTGTATTCTTCATTAGTATTTTGTAGATTTGGATATGGATGAGTTGAACGATGAATAGTTTGTTGGTTGACACCTTAATTCTTGACTGATATGTCTTTATGTGAATCATCCTGGCTGATTGTGTCACTCATCTAATTGTTGCTGTTCGTACTAAGAATGAATTAAGTTTTATTAGTCTTCATATTTTTCTACATTAATGTTACTTATGGTCTTGCTGTTCGAAGACTAGTCAGTAAGTTCATGTTTTTCTTCCTTTTGGGCATTGAGAGGTTTGACATAATAGTTTGCGTTATTCACTGGATGATTTTCTTTCGAAATATTTTTCACATTAGGGTTGATAAGTTTTTAAAGCTAACACTTTTGAGAAACTTCATTGTGAGTGATGCAATGTGTTAGTAATATTCACAGATCCCAGTCGATTCAAAATAATGAATCAGGATCAATCGATCTGAACTTTTACAGACACAAGAAATATAAGTTACAGTAGTCTAGCTAGTTAAATGTACAAATCAGTGTGCGTATTCTCTAACTAACACTATTATTAAGTAGTATTTTCCTACACTACTTTAAGCTCTTAGAGTGTGACTAACAAACAACTGATAGACAAGGATAATCAGATTTTGTATTTATTACAAATTCCATATTTTGAATGAATAATTGATTTCAAAAGATGGTTTATTCACTTAAATCGTGAACAGGCAAAAGTTCGAATCCATGAGTCATCGTGTTCTGCCCCAGACGCTGAATGATCAGCTGACTTGCCTCTTAACCTGAAGTTCCTGGTTTCGATTCCCGGTAGGATCATGCGTGTAAACTGCTAAAGAGTCCCAAACTTCGAATGGAATATCTGTCTAGTAATTCGTTGTCTCCACTGGTTGATTAACTGATGTCATTTCGTGAAACTTGAAATACACCAGTATGTTTTGTCCTTCTACACCTCTGCATTTTATTATTATTATCAATTTAGTTGATCTGGAATTAGTTTTAGTCAAATAATTTTATGATTCAATCTATTTTATTTGTTTTAAACAAGGAAATTCTCTTGTACCTTTTGGATCACTTTAAACGGTTAACTAATAACTGTGAAGTCAATAAAATGGATACACAGAATCTTGCAACATGTCTCGCTCCAGTTTTATTTTATCCATCACCGAACTCTGCTCGAAGCCTGGATCCAAATGTTTTAGAGCCTAGAAAAATGGCTGAAATATTTAAATTTATTTTGGAAATATGGCCAGATGACCGCTCAAGATCACACAAATTTAACCCAACTGAATCATGGATTTCACCGTATTCCTCCAATATTCCTCTTCCTGAAGACCAGCATCAAACAGGATGCCATCCTCATCAGCATCACCATCATCATCCTAAGCATCGGTATGATCAGTCGAGTCACCGAGCATCGAGCGCTGTTCGGTCGACATTATCCGGACCAGCTGGAACTGGAGTGGGATATCGATCACCGCATACAGTGCAAAGATCTAGTATTCTTACTGGTAAAGCTGAGTCAGGTAAACTGTACTTTTTATAAAGATGTTAACAGCTTGATCTGAACAAAGATGGTAGAAATATTTTAAACACACGATATACTGAAATGCTTCGACTGTTCATATTTAAAAAATTATTGCCCCTTAGTTAAGTCGGTTCATATCCTTGAGAGAAATACGTTTAATCTGAAGTGTGAAACATGTTGCACAGGCCATTGTCAAAATAACATAAAGCGCAGGTCAAACCGAGTTCTTACCATCTAACACAGTAGTAATAATGACAGGTGAATGTAAAGTTACATGAAATAGGACTTTGGCGATAAAACTGGTTAGTATGATATTAATCGCTACTTAACTTTTGAATGAAGTACAGAGTTTCATTCTGCAAGGAATAAGTTAAATGTATAGTTGACATAAGTGATGAAAGCTTGGATAAAATAGAAACCTAATATAAACACTACACGACTCTGCATTGTATCGTTAAGCAAGTGCATTAATAGAATAATTTATATGATGTAGTACTCACTGTTTCAGTATTTGTATTTATTCATTGATGACGGCCTAATCGTATAAGACATGTTGCTAGGCTATTCAAATACAATACATCATATACCTGTATCCGAATTCTAGTATGAATGGCATGACGACATGTCTTACACCATCAATCCTGGCGACCTTTCACACAGAAATTACTGTTTATAACCACACCAATTTAGGGAATTATTCTTCACCACAATGCTAAAGTTCTTTTCTTATTCGTATAATATTATTAGTAAGTTCTCCACAGAATGTATTTTATAAACCCTCTTGAGGCCTTACTATGTAAACTGACTTTAATAAATTTCACTGCTCTTAGAAAGTTGGTCCGAAGGCTTGATCAATGTATGCCTTATACTAGTAAATATCCTATGATCAGCACACGTGACCATTGTTGTAAACATCCCAAAGTTTATACTGATTACCAAACACTTCAGTGCTTACAGTTATTGGTAAACAGCCAACATGTGATACAACAAGGACTTATTTAACATTTAGATCTTCTGGTGTAATCACCTCGTTGAACAGTCCCTTCTGTATACCGTTAAACCGATCACATTCATTTAAGACGCACTACTGAGTCAAAATAAGGTTACTAATACTTAACTAATGTAATGAGGGGATGAGTGAATCTGTAAACACTACTTAATTTGCAGAATTGTTCGAATCATCGATCCATTACTCTACCAAATGAGCTTCACCACCCAGTCAATTATCTCTAATTTATGTGATGGCTGCTTGAATCTAATATTAAATGAAGTGAAAGTGCCACTTGATTGGATTTTGTAGCTCAGTAACTGAATACGATAGTGACTGAGATGTTTCTTTAAAGTCCAGCAATTGTCTTAAAACAACTACTTAACTAAAAAGTAACAATCTGTACTTTCATCATTTGCAAAAAATTAGACGTGATGAGAAATGCTTATCACATTTCATTATTGATAAGTGCATTTTTCTAAAACACAAGTGAAATTCTAGAAAAGATTTTTAAATATACAAGAAAAAGCTTTTAAAACAAACTTGTCAATGTCGACGTTATCAATTTTTCAGCATGAACAATTTTCAACTTGTCAGGAAATCAATTAGAGCAATTAAAATTAGAAATTACTGACTATGGAGTATGTACAAAAGACAATAACAAAAAAATCAGTGTGAATGTAATTTTTTCAAATATTTTTATTTGCAGTTTGATTTTTGTGAGAAAGCCAGTGGAAACAAATGGAGTACGAGAGAGCTGTTTTATTCTAGTTAGGTATTCTGTAGCAGTTGGTATCCCCAACCTTCCACGTTCCGTAACAGGATCAAACATATGTCGATATCCTCTTGCCGTTTAATGATTCCTTAAATACTGTTGAGTTTGGACAGTCTGAAATAATATCGATGATTTTTGTGAACTTTACCTCTAAATATGTTTATCTGCACTTAAATGTAAGATGAAGTGCCTCGGTGATAAAGAACAGAATGATGAAGTTTCCTTTCAAGTTCGAAAAGTGCAAGTAGTAACATTCAATACTAGTTTGTCAGAATTGTTTGCAGCTAGTAAACAAAATTAAAACTCTACGCCGTATAAAGTTGTATCTATTCCTTGATAAACTATTCAGATTTCTCACCGCCTGCTTATATTCGCTATAAACGTAATTTTTAATCTGTCTGAAGAAACCCGATATAAAACAACACAAAAGGAATAGTAATCCATTTGCTTTGGCACTTCAAATCGTGGCTAGAAAAATAGTTGAAACGCTTAGCATAAATAGTAGTAACCAGGCTCAGCTTCTTTTCAGTCACACAGTGTTTTTTACAGTCTTTCGAGTGAGTTGAGTAACTGTCTAACTGACTGACAGAAACAGTCACCATTTGGTTCTTTCGTGAATTACCTCCATAACCAAATCTTCTACCCCTAATCTGAACCAAAGTGAACTACATCTAAGCTCAATAATTGAGGCTACGGTAAGCGGAAACCAAACTGTTACCTGAAATTGAGAACAGACTGGGTCTGCATAAAGTAATAATGAGTGTAGTAACATTTCTAACCAAAAGGTTTTCTACAAATAACAGTGTTCACATCGACAACGGAATATCAAAAAGCAAAAATCAAGTTGAAAGAAAAAATAAATGAGAAAGATTTCCTCTGGGGAATCTTACATCTCAAGCAGGTAGAGAAGAAGCTGAGGTTTATTCGCAAGGTAACTGAATCTTAATAAAACTAGTGCGGAAACTTGACAATTCTAATAGAAATTCGTCTTGAAACCACGTTTTCCTGTGGATGAAATTCTTCAAATTATAATCACACGGCTTTAAGTGAAAATCCACTTGGGTTTCCTATAAAATTCAAAATAATCAAATGACATTGTGACTTGCTTGATAATATAAGTGGAAATTAAGAAAACGAAATAAACAGTATGATGGTAAATACTGTTAATTGATGTGAGTAGATGGAATCCATTCACGTGAGCCAACAGTGCTTGCTAGGTAGATCAATGCGATCCAAACATCGAATAGCTTTTCAGTTGTTTGCAGTAGACAACATCAAGTCACCTGTATATAGGTAAGAAGCGCCACTGGTTGACTTGTATCAGTCATTAATATAAACCAGGTTTTTATTTGTTTAATGCTAAACGATTAAAAACGTGTTATTATGGATGTTTTTAGTAAACAGTAGAAATAAATTCTACATGTAAATGTGTTATTGTGTAGTCAATGATATCGTAGTGTCTAGTTTTCACTGAGAACCTAAACTAACTTGAAAAGTGTTCAGTACATTCCTCATGATAATGTAAATTTCTGTATCAAGAATTTTCGCTCATCTTCACTCATAAATGTGGTACATTTGGAATCTGAAGTAAACTATGACTTCATATTAATTTAAAGCATTCGAGGTGGAAATGGGATCATTCCATTCTAATTTGCTGCCAACAGTTATCATGCCTTAACTTACTGACTAATGCAGGTATGTGTACAGCCTTAATTAAAGAGTGAAACAGGTATCTGTTTAATATTCGTAATACAACCTTATTATTGAAAATGAAAATTTTATTATTTGTTTTTTCTCTAAAATAGATATTTAAAACAACTGGTCATAAAATTGATGAGTTTTAACGGCCTGTGGATAAATCATTATGTTTGTTGTGTTATTTTATCTTCAAACATGGCTTTATAGATAAATCAGATTATGCAGGCATAAGTCGTAGTGGAAAGTTAAAATACGGCAACGGCTCTAACGGTTCATCAAGACATGGAATTAACCCAGAAGAACATAGAAGGACTAGCCGTGATCCCCGCCAAACTGTCAGTTTCGGCAACGCGAAAACAATAAGAACCCATTCAACACAACGAAAGACTATGTCTCAAACGGATATCAATCTAGGCAGTAGCCGAGGGTATTCAGTTGGCTTTGACTTCAGAGATCAGCAAGTCATTCCACCTACTGATGATTCCAGCATTCGAGTCCATCCTCGTTTTCAAGACATACCAACAACTGGTTCCACTGGAACAGATAGTGGAACAAGATCAAGCTTATCAGTTGGTTCAAGGCAACCTTGCCCGCCACCACATGCCAGCTCATCTGTTGACAGGGGGACACACAGTGAACTCATCCGAAGCTCTAGTCAAGAACGTCAACATTATGGGCGAACACACAGACTTTCTAGACGCTCTCATCCGTTCAGTTAGTACATCTTCAATCGGAATTATAGTTCAGAGCATATTTTTGACAGACATAAGACAAGAATACAATTTGTCTGTTTTCTATTAAATCTACGGTCAGATCACCTGACTACAGCTAGGCCTTCTTCATATATCTTCAAATTATCATTGTTTTGACTGAACTTAAATCCACTTCAGGTACGATAAGTTTGTTTTCACTAAGTACAGAGGATTTCTCATCGATATAAACGTTATGTAAAACCCGTGTTGTCATGATATTAATGTATTTGAAGTCAGAATGAAGCAATAAGTTAAAATTTGAGCTGTGGTGAAGGAGATAAATTAATTTATCATTTTCTGAAATAATGCTCATGTCATGCGAGCCTAGTGATATGAATTAGTCGATAAAAGAGTTTATCTCTTATGTACTAAGTTTTACATCTTTCACAACAATTTTTTCCACTCTGTCTTCTTCATTGTTTCACTTCTTTATTCTCACCGCATGTTGGATTCACTTCACCATCTGCAATATGAGATACTTTCTGTGAAACTTATGCATATAGATACACTCATCCTCTTTATGAATGCATTCTTGATGATTCATTGTTCAATATCGATCTGGTTTCAAACAAGTTTCCCTATTACACATTATTTGATTTTTGTCAACATGCTATAAAGAGATATTGTGTTTATCATTGAACCAAAAGGTACATAAGTTATGTATATGAAGTAATACCGAATAATTGAAATAAATAAACATGTAGGATTTTCATTACAACTTACACTTGAAATGTTCATCATCTGCATTTTCTTCTCATGACGGTTATGATTATAATTATAATAATTGTTATTACTACTGCTATTATTGTTGATATTATTAATATCATGTGTTATTCACAATATCTATTAATCATGACGCATACTACCTAAACTGGGACATAATTGGTGAACATTTGGATTTTTGTCTAACTCTTTTCTTTCATTTAGTTTATAATTTATGGTAAATGAAGTGAATGAGTCATTACCTGTTTTAATTTGTTGGCTGGACCAACAATTTCTATTATTTTGCATTCAGTATATACATATTCCATATACATACAGACGCACATACAGATTGACCATTCTGCTCATCTCAGTTATGACAATGTCGTGAAACAGAGAGAACAGATTGATATTTGATAGAACAGAATTTATGTATGTTATACGAATATACGCACAGTAATATATATATATATATATATATATATATATCACTTACATGCTTCAATATGTACATGTCTTGCTTGTACACAAGTTTGCTTATAAATACAGTATATAAATGAAACGCTACTACTACTACAGTATAGAAATCACCTGAACTTAGCTTCAACATACCAGATGGAGAAATAAAATACACTGTGTAGCAGACTAAACTGTATTTTCTAAGTTGACTATATATATATATATATATATATATATATATATATATATCCTAGATATCTAGACCTAGAGGTTCTCTTTTGTTTAACATTTATTATAAACATTATCATTCCTATCCCTATCACTCTCTATAAGTGTGACAATTACTGTTACTAATATTAATATTAATACAATTATTATTAACCCACTTATTAATAATACTTATATTGCTTATATTTCTGTTTATGTTCTATATTTTCAAACCCCTCACCTAATGTTTCCACTCATTCTAATCTTTTTGAAATTACCGATTGAATTTGTAACCAGTAGATCATTCAGTGAGAAAAGCATCTTTTCTCTTCTTCTCTTATACTTCTTGTTGAACTCGTTTTCGTACCTGTTAGATAGTGTAAAATTGAAATAATTAGTAGCAAGTAAATAGACAAACACAAAGGTGCAAATTTCTCCACAGACGTATTTCGGAAACGGTATAAATAACTTCACGAAATTACTATTATTTTAAAAACCATGGTGGGCCAAACTGAGTTTGTTTTCCCCTATCCATTTCTTTGTGTCGTTTCCATTTTTGGTCTTCTAAAATGTTTAGTACAGATAAAGATAACAAAAACTAATACATTTTAATTGTTTTCTAGTTATTATTCGGGAAATGGGGGCAGAAACTATTCAGTGAACTGGTCAGATTTAGTAACTACCAATTACAGAATAATCACCAACACTTATTGAAACTGCTATGTGACTTGCATGTTTTGTGGAGGTAACTTCTTGAAGTTCCAGCCCTATATAAAAACACTTGTTATGCAAGTTTGGGTATTTTGGAAGAATCACAGTAGGCTGCGTAGCTGAATAAGTCCTCTCAAGTATCGATCTCCGAATAACAAGCAGCAGCTAGTATTTCGTGTAGGGTTCACGTTGTTAAGTGAAAGTTAGGAAAAGTTAAACTCTGAGCACCAGTAACTACCACTGGAGTGCGTCCTCACCGATGACCCTGAATGGACCAGTAAGATTCCTCACTTGAGTTCAAGCCTTGATTCGGCTTGCTTCAAGTGAAGTTACGTCTTAAATTTGGTGTAGACTGAGTGTTCCAGTATTGTTTGGAGTGAATGGAAAAGGAAGGATTTATTCCTGTAGTGGTATTATGAGTATAAAAAGCTTCAGTAGATCGGCTGACGAAAGCATTCACCATTGTAAAGATCGTCTGAGACGAGTTAGTATAAGGGGAGGTAAGCTGACGGTTACACTATTTCTTAGGAACAATTTTGGCCAGATCCTATTTATTATTAACCCAGATTTTGTGTGCTTTCAATTACTGGGTTTTAAAACCCTCTGTGAGGGGTACAGCTGCTGAAAAGGAGAATAATCTCGTCTCATCAGTTCAGAGGTACTGGCACTGCAGACATATCGCATCTTGGAAGACGGAAAAAGTTAATTCTTTATTGGGAGGAGGTTCTGTACATATAGATGAAACAGTAATAATACAGAGGAAACACAACCGTGGTCGCGAAGAGAGCAAAATAACGTTTCGGTGATTGCATTGTACGACACCAGTTTACAGAAAGGATTCGATGAAATAACATCATACTTCAACACCCATTGGTAATGATGGTAGACATTGAGTGAACGTCCAATGAACTGTTTATTCGAACCAGTTTCCTGTTCGTTGGAGCAGCAATCCCTGTCGTAGACCAGACATTTTCTCGTTGACAGAAGACCGGAGCAATACGATCAAAAGTATTCACGTATGTTATGCTGACATTAATTATAGACATTTTCAGTGTGCTGATAGTAACCAACTGTGAATCACGTGGTCAAACTGCTGTGCAATTAACCTGATATATTGGTTTATACTTGGTGGATCAAAAAATCTACGACTTACCGTCTGTCCTTTAATAGTGCTTCAGTTGAAATTGAGTTGGTTAGCATATACATATGTGGTGGACCTTTCACGCTGTTAGCTTATTAACCCAAATTCAAATAGAAAACAAAATACCAAATCAATTGAGTTTACGGGAAGAATATATTAAAGTTTTGTTACTTGGGTTTACAAAGATCCAAATTCCACAATAAACGTAATGGATTCCAGAAGTGCTGCGGGA